AATGCTCATGAGTGATACTGGTCTGTAATTTTCTTTTTTTTGTGGTGTCTTTACCTGGTTTTGGTATCAGGGTTATGCTGGCTTCGTAGAATGAGTTTGGGAGTATTCCATCCTTTTCTGTGCTCTGAAATACCTTTAGTAGTAGTAGTGTTAACTCTTCTCTGAAAGTTTGGTAGAATTCTCCAGTGAAACTGACTGGCCAGGGCTTTTTTTTGTTGTTGGGAGTTTTTAAATTACCTTTTCAATCTCTTCTTTTGTTATAGGTTTATTTAGTTATTCTACCTCTGTGTTAGTTTAGGTAGGTAGTGTGTTTCTAGAAATTTGTCCAGTTCCTCTAAGTTTTCAAATGTGTTAGAGTACAATTTTTCATAGTATTCTGTTATAATTCTTTTCATTTCCATTGGATCTGTTGTGATACCACGCATCTCATTTGTTATACAGGTTATTTGCTTCCTCTCCTGTTTTTCTTTTGTCAGTTTGGCCAGGAGTTTATCAATTTTGTTGATCTTTTCGAAGAACCAGCTTTTGGTCTTGTTAACTCTTTCAGTTGTTTTTCCATTTTCTATTTCATTTAATTCTGCTCTAATTCTTATTATTTCCTTTCTTCTGGCACCCGAGGGCTTCTTTTGCTGCTCTCTTTCTGTTTGTTCGAGTCGTAGGTTTAAGGTTTTGATTTTGGCCCTTTCTTCTTTTTGGATGTGTGCGTTTATTGCTATAAACTGACCTCTGAGCACTGCTTTTGCTGTGTCCCAAAGGTTCTGGTAGGATGTGTTTTCATTCTCATTTGATTCTGTGAATTTCTTTATTCCATCTTTAATTTCTTCTGTAACCCAGTAGTTTTTGAGCAAGGTGTTGTTCAGTTTCTATGTGTTTTATTTTTTTTTTCCCTTGCTTTTTCTGTTATTGATTTCTACTTTGGTGGCTTTATGGTCAGAAAAGATGCTTCATAATATTTCGATGCTTTGGATTTTTTTAAGGCTTGCCTGATGGCCTAATACATGGTCTATTCTGGAGAATGTTTCATGTGTGTTGGAAAACAAAGTATACTTGGCTGCTGTTGGGTGGAGTGTTCAGTATCTGTCCATGACATCAAGTTGGTTGATTGTGGCATTTAGATCTTCCGTGTCTTGGTTGAGCTTCTTTCTGGATGTTCTGTCCTTCACCGAAAGTAGTGTTTTGAAGTCTCCTACTATTATTGTGGAGCTGCCTATCGTTCTTTTCAATGCTGTTAAAGTTTGTTTTATGTATTTTGGAGTGCTGTTGTTGGGTGCATAAATATTTATTATAGTTATGTCCTCCTGGTGTATTGACCCTTTAATCATTATATAGTGTCCTTCCTTATCCTTTGTGGTGGATTTTACTTTAGAAGTCTATTTTGTCAGGGATTAATATTGCCACTCCTGCCCCTTTTAAAATGTTGTTTGCTTGATATATTTTTTTCCATCCTTTGAGTTTTAGTTTGTTTGTGTCATTTAAGTCTAAGGTGTTTCTCTTGTAGGCAGCATATAGACGGATCGTGTTTTTTAATCCATCTGCCGCTCTCTGTCTCTTTATTGGTGCATTTAGTCCATTTACATTCAGTGTTTAATTATTGATAGGTATGAATTTAGTGCTGTCATTTTGATGTCTTTTTGTGTGTGTTGTTGACAGTTTCTTTGTTCTACTTAATTTTCTGTGCTGCGTCATTTTATGTATTTTCTTTTCATTGTTGTTGATTATGTATATGCTGAGTATATTTTTCTTGTTTTTTTATTTTGATGTGAGGGATTGTTAGTTTCCTTTGTGGTTATCTTAATATTTACCCCTATTTTTCTAAGTTTAAACCAGTCTTTTATATCTTTATATTGCCTTGATTTCCTCTCCATATGTAAAATCTATGTCTGCATTTTTAGTCCCTCTTTTATGTTTTAATGTTGTTATCTTTTACTTATTGACATCTCTGTTTCCTTATTTTCAGTGTTTTAGCTTTGATTTATTTTTGTGACTCCCCTATCTGGATTGATATCTGGTTGCTCTGTCCAGTGTTCTAATCTTGGGTTGTTATCTGATGTTATTGATTTTCTCGCCGAAAGACTCCCTTTAGTATTTCTTGTAATTTTGGTTTGGTTTTTGCAAATTCCCTAAACTTCTGTTTAGCTGAAAATACCCTAATTTTGCCATCATATTTGAGAGACGGATTTGCTGGATATATAATTCTTGGCTGGTAATTTTTTTCCTTCAAGGCTTTATATATGTCATCCCATTGCCTTTTTGCCTGCATGGTTTCTGCTGAGTAGTCCGAACTTAGTCTTATTAACTCTCCTTTATGGATGACTTTTCATTTATCCCTAGCCAGTCTTAAAATTCTGTCGTTATCTTTGGTTTTGGCAAGTTTGATTAAAATATGTCTTGATGACTTTCTTTTGGGATCTACCTTATGTGGGGTTTGATGAGCATCTGGATACATACCTTCGCATCTTTCATGATATCAGAAAAGTTTTTCTGCCAACAAATCTTCAACAGTTTTCTCTGTATTTCTTGTTATGCCCCACTTGTAGTCACTCGTAGGTTATTCCTCTTGATACAGTCCCACATAATTCTTAGCATTTCATCATTTTTTAAAATTCTTTTTATCTATTTTTTCCTCAAATAAGTTGGTGTCAAGTGCTTTATTTTCAATCTCACTAATTCTGAATTCCATTGCCTCAGTTCTGCTCCTCTGACTTTCTATTGAGTTGTCTAATTCTGAAATTGTATTGTTAATCTTCTGGATTTCTGATTGCTGTCTCTCTATGGATTCTTGCGTCCTGTTAAATGTGTAATTATGCTCTTCTCTAATCTTAAGTTCCTCTATTGCTTGGTCTGCATTTTGCCTCATTTCCTTCCTGATATCTTGATGCGTTCTGTGTATTAATCTTTTGTATTCTGCCTCTGGTAATTCCAAGAAATTCTCTTCCTCCAGAAAATTTCTTGATTCTTTATTTTGGGAGCTTGGTGAAGCTATCATGGTCTGCCTCTTTATGTGATTTGATATTGACTATTGTCTCCAAGCCATCAATAGGTTATTATATTTATTTATTTTATGTTTGCTTACAGTGTCCTGGCTTCTTGTTTTGATATGCCCAAATAGGCTGCTCGTGTGAGCTAGCCCAATCACTGACACCCCTGAAGCTCCAACATCCTTACACCAGGGGGCTAGACATGCCACTAAGTATGTGAGCCCAGGAGTCCGCCCACTCCTCCTGTTTGGATTCAGCTCAGGTGTCCAGGTTGTCGGCCACCAAGTCCGTGGTGCGGGCTCTCACGTACAGTCCTAGACAGGCATGGGTGATTGGTGTAGGCACAGATGTCCGGCTGCAGCAGGTGAACACACACTGAGCAAGGCGGGGCCAACGGCTGCCCCTGAGTGGGAGGAAAGCGTGTCTCTGTTCCCAGGAGCGTGTAGGTGCGCGGGTTTTGCAGACGGACTATGAGCACCCAGTGCTGTTGGCTGTAAGGACTGGGAGACACCACTTATTCTTGGGCCCCTGTCACAGGTGGTTAGGCAACGTGGGTGGAGCCACCAGTCCTCAGGCCCCTGATGTGGGTAGTTGAAGACCCTGCTTAATGGGCAGAGCAGTGTCAAATGTCACGAACCTGCCACTTCACAGCTGAGACAGTTGAAGTTAGACTTAAGGTATATACTCTGTTGGGCTGTGGTAATGAGGGCCTATACTGTTGAAATGGGCACACAGAAGGGTCTGCAGGGGGAAAGGCACTCAAAGTCCATGGACCCTTATGCCTGTGCCTAGGTAAAGGAGCTGTGCCTACCCTGAGTTCCTGACTTCGTGGAGTTGGCAGATTACTTTTTCCCCAGTTTGTTAATTTGTTCCCTCTCCAAGGCCGGAAGAATGGTTCAGGATGTGTGACAGATCCTACTTCCTGCCCAGGGGACCCCAGCAGTCTCTGAAGCTGTTCCAGACCCAGTGCAGAGCAGGGAGGAGGGAGGTAAATGGGAGAGGGGTTTTTCCCAAAGAGGGGGTGTTTTTGATCCACATGGTAGGCCAGATGCAAGTACTTACCTTTTGCTGATCGAGGGCTGCTTCTCAATGGTTCTGGATGGCCGAGTTGACTCTCTGCCGCTGGGTCTCTCCTGATGTGGAAAACACCTCCCAAGTGCTACTGCTTGCCTCACCATGCACCATGAGCTGATCTGGCCTGAAGGGCTCCGGCTACCGCCGAGTCAGGTCTGGCAACTCCTCGCTGCTTCTGCACCGTCTCTCGCTCCCCTGCCACTCAGTCCAGTTCCTCAACTTTGCCTTTGATGTTCAGGACTCCTAGATTGTCATATATAATCGATTCACTTGTTTCTTCGGGTCTTTCTTGTAACAGGGACCACTGAAAATGTGTGACGACTCCGCCATCTTGACCCCGCCTCTCATAGGGTTTTCAGTGGCTGATTTTTCAGAAGTAGATCACCAAGCCTTTTCTCTGAAGCACCTCCTGGTGGATTCAAACAGCCAACCTTTCAGTTAGTAGCTGGGCACTTAACTGTTTGTGCTACCCAGGGACTCCTTCAGTATGGAAGGAGGAAGTATATACAGTCATGCGTTGCTTAATATCCATGTTACACTCTGTGAAATAGGACATTATGTGATTTGGATGTCATGTATGCAGCATATAGCATTTCACAGTTTACAAGGCATGGGAGGGGTGGAAGGGCATCACCTCCAGGCCAGGGGCTTGGCTGCCCCAGGTGGAGGCACTAGGAGGCAGGGACTCAGTATGCGACTGAGCGCACTCAGAGGTAGCTGGGCACTGTATAGCATTTCACAGTTTACAAGGCACTTTCAATAGCCTTGCTGCTTTTAATCCCTCTATAGCCTCCTGATCCCCATCTTACAGGTGTGGAAACCAAGGCTCAGGAGATTAATAGGCATGCCCAAGATCACCTGGCCAGCAGATAGCAGAATTGTCACCGATTGGGATTTCTGAACTCTTTATAACTTTATGGGACCACAGACACATGTGGTCGGACATTGTCTGAATGGACATTATGCAGCACATGAGTGTATTGGAAAAGGAGAGGTAAGCGAAAGTCAGACTCTGAAGGGTTTGAAAGTCTCTTTAAGGAATTTGACTATGTTATGGGCAGTGAGAGACCAATGAAGGGTATAAGCAGTAGAGTGAGTGATATGATCTGATTTATGTTAAAAAGATCACTAGCAGTGTCATGGAAGAAGAGGGGCTGGTTAGAGCCAGAGTCTTAACCTAGAATTTTAGGGGGTCATGCCATCTGCAGTGGAGAATTACCTTTCAAAAAACAGCTCCTCACAGGGCATTTTTTTGGGCATTGAAACTATTCTGCATGATAACTGCAATGATGGACACATGTCATTATGCATTTGTCAAAACCCATTGGACTGTATGACACCAAGAGTGAACCCTAATGTAAACTAATAATGCATCAATATTGGTTCCCCAGTTGTAGCAAATGTACCACATTCTTGCAAGCTGTTAATAACAGGAGAAACTACAGGGGATGAAGGGTATGTATATACTTTCTGGACAATTTGTCTGTAAACTCCTCTAAAAATGAAGTCTATTTAAAAGAAAAAACAAACTGAGCTGCTGGCATGCTCTTGGACTCTGGCAGAGACAGTACACCTGGCTTGGGACACCAAGTGACCTTGCAGCCAGAACTGCCCATCGTGACTGGGCACCATCAGACCCATTGAATCATAAAGCCCAGTGGGCCCAGTGGTGACCCATATGAAGATGGAGGTGGTGCCTCCAGGTCAAGCCCAAGCAGGCTGCATGACCAAACAGCCAAGACCCCCACATTATCCAACACTGTTGTGCCAGCATCTCTCCTTCTGCCCACACCTGTGACCAGCTGATAAATGAAGAAAAAGCCTGAGCTTTGTTCATAAATGGGTCAGCTTGGTGCATGGCTTGAAGCCAAACATAGATAACAGCTCTACTGTAGTTCCGCTGAGATTGACCTAACTTCTGCCAGCAACAGAGGCCAACAGTGAGTCTCTGACAAGGCACCATCCCCTGAGGAGACCAACAAGCTGCCTGGTGGCAAATTGGCTGCACTAGACCTTTGTTACCCTAGAAGGGGCAATAAATTATTTTGACAGGAATCTATTCCTGTCACAGGTTTTCATTTTCTGCCTTCAGGGCCTCAGCCAACACCATTATCCCAAGGGCTTACAGTGCTTTATCCACCACTGTGGGATCACACAGAACAACACTGCATCAAACCAAGGAACCTATTTTACAGCAAGGGAGGCACAAGACTGGAACATGTTTTGGGAGTCCACATACCATACCATCCTGAAACTGCTGGCCTGATAAAATGATAGGTTGGTTGAAGACTCGAGCCATCTCAGAGGTGATAGTTTATGAGGATAAGGCACCATCCTCGAGGGTACAATGTACACTAAATTGATGACATTTATATGGTGCTGTGTCCCAATAAAAAGAATACATGACCCATCTGCTATTACTCCTAGTGATTCACTTGGGAAGTTGTGTTTCCCGTCCCCTCAACTCCTGGCTGCCCCAAGGGGGAAGACGGGAACACAGCATCCCATCGAACTGTTATCTAAGCTGTTGCTTGGGCAACGAGTCACCATCTTGCAGGGACAATTGGCCTTGGGATCAGGAGGAGGTAGGGTTGCTGTTGCATAGTGGGGGCAGGGAGGAATCTGCTTGCCACCTAGGTGATCCGCTTGGGCTTCTCTTGGTACTCCCTTTGCCAATTCTGATGATAAGTAGACAAGCGCAGCAACCTTCTACTGAGAAGGGCATGATGGCCTGAGGCTTAGACCCTTCAGGCGTGAGGGTCTGGATCATAACAGCAGGTAAGCCACCTAGATTAGCAGAGGGTGAAGGAGACATAGAGTGGATAGTAGAGGAGGTAGACACAAATATCAGTTGTAGCTCCAAGGCCAGCTACAGTGGCAGGGAATGTAGTTTATCCCACTAGCCTGCCTCTTCTAAGGTTCCCTTAGGAGTGGGTCACTGGAATTCTGGAAGCTACTCCCCAAACTTATGTGGGGCATAGGTCTGAGTGGCACAAGGGGTGGGCGTTGTGATGTACCCCTCAGGTTCCCTTTCAGGAATGAAGGACTTACTCCTTCAGCTGCTGAGAATACTAGGACAGAGCCCTCAGTGGTTAGCCGTCTCTAGGGATTGCCTCAACTGAAGAAAACCCCCTCACCCAAGGTCATGCCCCCTTCCTGGTGTGGCCTGCAGGCAGTGTGTGATTGTTGTGAGGGTATGAAAGCCCAGTCCTCTCACCCCAGCGTGCCACAGCTCTGAATCCTCATCCCAGCTCCAGAGCTGAGTTGGCTGAGGTCTTCACTGGAAGTGCATTGCAGACTGACTTCTTCCTCTGTCCAGCCCTGTTTCCTTCCCTTTGCTTCCTTAGACTTGATCCCAAGAGCACTCCTTAACAAACATCCTGCTCTCTTAACCTCAGGGTCAGCCTCCTGGGATACCCAGCTTGCAACTGTTCCCTACTCACCTGAGCTCGTTCAGGGATCCGGTACCTGAGGGTGGCAAGACATGCGAGATGACTGCTCTTGGGGAGCATTATTTAAGGAAGGTAACAAGGAAAAGAGTTTTCAGGCCAGCAGCACCCACAGTCTGGTTGAAGTGGCTGGTTAGTCTCTTTGATGCTCCTAGGATCATCAGAATGTTAAGATGTTTTTTCCATTGAAGAAGGCAAGGTCATGGAAGCTCCACAGACACATCCAAACTCCCCGAAGGACCAAATTACTGGGCTGAGACCTGTGGGGACCATGGTCTTTGGGAACATCTAGCTCAACTGGCATAACATAGTTTATAAATAAAATGCTCTACATCTACTTTGGTGAGTAGCATCTGGGGTCTTAAAAGCTTGTGAGTGGCCATAAAAGCTTGTGAGTGGCCATCTAAGATACTCCACTGGTCTCACCCCATCTGGAACAACGGAGAACAAAGAAAACCAAAGACAAGGGAAAGATTAGTCCAGAGGACTATTGGACCACAAGTACAACAGCCTCCACCAGACTGAGTCCAGCACAACTAGATGGTGCCCGGCTACCACTGCTGACTGCTCTGACAGGCATTGCAATAGAGGGTCCCGGACAGATAGGGAGAAAAATGTAGAACAAAATTCTAACTCAATATAAATAAATAAATAAATAAACCAGACTTACTGGTCTGACAAAGACTGGAGACAGAGACTGGCCATACTCCGAGAGTATGGCCTCCAGACAACTTTTTAGCTGAGTAATAAAGTCACTCAATACTGAGGTTCACCCTTCAGCCAAAGGTTAGACAGGCCCATAAAACAAAATGAGAGTTAATGGGCATACAAGCCCGGGGGCAAGGACAAGAGAGCAGGAAAGCTGGTAATGGGGAACCTAAGGTTGAGAAGGGAAGAATGTTGACATGGGGTTGATAACCAGTGTCACAAAACAATATGTGTATTGTTTAATGAGAAGCTAGTTTGCTCTGTAAACCTTCGTCTAAAGTACAATAAAAAATAAAAATAAAGATGTTTTCCCCAAATCTGTTTCCATTGTAACCCATTAGCAATTTTTAATGCATGAATTTATCTTAACCATTTAAAATTTTTATGGATTTCCAGCCTTACTATCTCTTGCAAAATGAATTTCATGAACTCCCCACTGTTTGAGGTAGTGCCTTATAATTTAGAGTAATATGTAGTCACCTCAAGATTTCCTGGGCAGGAAGCAGCCTAAATGTCCATCAGTAGATTAATGAATAAGCAAAATCTGGTACATACATACAGTGGAATATTCGTGTGGTGAAATGAGTTCCATTGTGTGGCCTTTTGCCTTGGTTATAAGGAAACGCAGCTTGAGAGAATTTTGAAGCCCTGAGGAATTACCTTTGCCCTAGTTTTCTACCCCAAAGTGTGTGTTACTTTTGTCCAGGTGGATTGACATTTTCTGGGTAGGCTGTAAATAAGGATGGTTTGATACTTTTTGCCTGGCCCTGGGCTGCAGCCTGCCCTGTGATTGGTATGCGCCTTGCAGAGACTGATCAATAGACTCTGCAAATGAAGTGTCTACAGCCTACTGTGCAAATGAAGTATCTGTAGCCTACCGAGAGGGGATTGGTCAGTTTGTGGCCTCTGCTGGGAGGGTCCATGCCTTGAAATTGACAAGGAGTTGTGTATATAAGCAGCCAACCCCACAAAAGTTTTTCAGACAGGTAGAAGTAGGCAGACAGAAGCAGAAGGAAGAGAGAAGAAGCAGAGAGGAGGCAAGAAACCCCCTAAAAGAGATGTAACACGGGTCAGGGGCTGTAACACTGAAGACAGCGACAGGCCTGGAAGGCACCTATTGGCAGAGCAGGTGGCAGCAAGCCTGGATGGGGCCCTTGTGGCAGAGTCAGTGGTGACATGACGGGGTCAAAAGGAGCCTGTCCTCAGGGGGTTGAGAGGAGCCTGTCTTCAGGGGGTCTAGTAGAGGCTTGCATGGCTAAGAGGAGCTGAGAGCTTTCCTGCGCTGAAAAAGGGAGACTTTGTCTACGTGCTTCCTGATCCTAATTCCGAGCTGTATCCTGTTAACTTCCTTAATAAACCATTTATGATCTGCGAATTCTCTGTGGCCCTTGCAGTGTATTATCGAACACAGAAGTGAAGTCAAGAGTGCCATGGGAGGGACGGCTGGTGTCAGAATTGGTAAAAAGATTGGAGGGTGAAGGTATATCTGACCTCCACCTCATAGGAATGATTTTTGTACTGATGGTAATTCTCATTATCCTCCCTGAAGTTAGACAGGTTTTGAAGCTGCTACTACTACTACTGACATCACCATTTTGCACTCAGCCCTAAAGAGAAATGAAGTCCCAATGCATGCTACAACAGGGCTGAACCTTGAAAACGTTATTCTTAGTGAAATGAGTCAGTCACAAAAGGAAAAATACTGTGTAATCCCACTTATAGGAAATAGGCAAATGTATAGAGACCGAAGTTTATTGGTGGTTACCAGGGATGGGAGAGAGAGGGGAAACGAGAGTCTTTGCTTAGGGGGCACTGAGTTTCTGTTAATGAAGGGGGAATAATTTTGGAACGGATAATGGTGATAGTTGTGCAATATGATGAATGTCATTGAATTGTACATGTGAAAAATGTTGAATTGGCAAATATTTTGTTGTTTATATTTTTGCCACCAAAAAAAAAAAAATATTTCCTGGGCACACAAAAAAGCACAACATTGTCCCTGATAAATGGGTGAGAGAACAGAGAGGGATCCCTGTCCTGCAGCCTTGGCTTGGCCCAGTGCACAGTCAAGGCCAGTGTGGGGAAGTCAGAGCTGGAAGCTGAGCGGTAATTACAGACCAGACCATGCCCTTCACTTGTTGGCAGTGTCAAAAGAATTTATTTCAAATCTGCTTAAGACTGGTAAAACTCAAGTTTTCCAAAAGGCAATACACAAAGTTCAACCAACCCCCAAAGACCAGAAAACACTGTTTCCAATTCAAAAAATACAAACGTTTGTGGATACCAATACAAAAATTAGAAAAAAGTTGCTTTCCTTCCTCCCGTGTTTCCAGTGAAACATAAACACCAACAAGACCAAGAGCTGCCACCAGATACCAGCAACTAGTGACAGGAAGAGGCTGTGATGGAGGAAAACAAGGGTAAAGGAAGGCAGGGAGATGGAAGCGTTGCCTACAGCCAAAAGAAGGACACAGAGCTTTTCGTTACTTGTTAAATTCCTTTGCCAACATTTAACAAATATCTTTCATGCTTAATACAACAGCTTAGTGCAAAAGCAGCAATTCTACATCATGCATTTAACATTTTCTGCTTTGCCCACTTCCTTTTGTTGCTCAGAAAGTCTGGGGCTTGGGATGTCCGGTCACCAGGGTGTGGGAGGAGGTGGAAAGGCCTTGCCTACTTGAGGGTCTCACTGAGGAAGTGCCTACCATGTTCCTGCTTCCACAGTTGTACATACTTTTCCAACCCTGATGTCTGTTTTTACACTTAGAGCCTTACCTGAGGGCCTGGCCTGGTCTGCAGTGCCCACCTTGCTTTCCCATGAGCCCCCTGGGCCCTTCACCAGGATTAGGTTAGGCACCCTGCTCCCTTAATGAGCTGCACTCTTTGAGAGAACAGTGACACCTCCAAAAGAAACTTCTCTGTATGTCTCAGCTCCCAATTCCTTCTTCTGATCCAAATCAACTTTATTCATCTAAAGAGCCAGGAAACCCTTCTAATAGGCTGTACAAGTGAAGTCCCAGAATTTATCAGTATCCAAAAGCACCTTGGAGACCAACCAGCCTCCCAGACTCCAGCTTAGTTGTATCTCATCCCACTCTTAGAAGCTGGCTTTCTAAAGCAGCTCCCTCTGCAGGAGGCCTTTGGAAACAAGACACACTACTGGCTGAGCGATTCCTTGGACACCGGAACTTAGTGTAAACTAGGAGGCAGAAAGCCGGGCTAGCCTCTCTTCCAGGGCTTAAGGGGGCTTCTGCACACAGATGCCTTTAGGACTAACAATGAGAAGGCTGATTTGTGGCATGTCCACAGTGGTTTGTACAAAGAGTACCATTACAACAGGCTGCACTGGAAATGGGGACATGTGGGGTGTTAACTTTCTACGATCATAAGAAGCCCACTTTAAGCGTCTATTTTTACCCCCTTAAAGCCAGGCAGCTGTATTATAAATAGATGTCCTCGGTCACAAGAGGCTTAAATGGAAGACGCTGTGGTCAAATCTCCACAAAGCCAGTGTTATTCCATAATCCTCACAATACACCAGAGGAGGTAGGTTGGTATGACTAGCCCCATTTGCAGGCGGGGATACTGAGGCACAGAAAGATGAAGGGATTTGCCCCCACCCATCTTGTGAACCAATATCAAGGCCTGGTTCAAAGAGATGAGTTTCTGAAGATGAGTTTCTGAAGTCTGAACTTGGTGTCTAATCAGTACATCTTGCCCCATGCCTACCCCTATCTATTTCACAGTCCATTTACATACAGTCAAAATTACTATGATCCTTTTATCTCCAAGGAATGTGATTAATGAAAACAGCTACTGGCTTGGTTCACTTGTAAGGGAGAGGCCTGAGAGTTTCCAGGGTCAGCAGATACCTTGATTATTTTCTAACTATATCTGATTAGTTGTTTTGCTTTTTAAGCCAGGTGAAGGCCAGAAACTCATTAAGAAATTCCTGTGACCCCTAATAAAAAGTAGCCAAGTAAGATTTACTTTCTAAGAATGGGGTTGGGGTGGAGACTTCTTCAGTGAGTTAAATGTCAGACCTGACCGGGTGACTTCTGTTTACACCTCACTCCCTTTTTCCCTACCTGCCCCAGCAGCTGGCAGAACACTGAGGTACAGAAGAACTCTGGGAAACATTGGTCTTGGGGTATTGTGATAAAGTCCCTCAGCCCATACTTAGCACATCATTGAGACATGATGATCTATTAGCATAATCCAGTAGTTTGAAACCAAGAGAGGTTCTGCCCGCAGGGGGTCATTGGGCAATGTCTGGAGACACTTTTGGTTGCCATAACTTGGGGGTTGCTCTTGGCATGTGGTGGCTTGTGAAACCCTGGCATAACTCCACTGCCCTGTCATAGTATTTCAGCATTCACATATTGAGTCCCCAGAAGGATTCAACCATCCTCACTATTTCACAGCCAGCAGATGGCCCTGTGACCAGCAGCAGCCTCATCTATGGGGAAGCCACCTGCTCACTGACACTGAAAAGTGCCTTCACAGGGGATAAAACCTCTCACTTCCAGTTAGAATTAAGGTTGTCAATGCACATATCCGTGGATGATTAGTACGCACAGATCCTGCCTTCTGGTCCTCACCTGGGAGTGCTCTGGTAGGGCAGAGGGCAGGACGCCACAGGATAGGGCTGTAATATGGTCACCAAGAACCAGAGCAGGGGGAAGGGCCTGCTTCCATCTCTTTCCATGAACTCCTCAGTTTTGCCCAAGCTCACCCTGGAAAGCATAACCCTTCCCGACCTTGGTGAGCCATAGGGGAGGTCAACCACAGGTGCTGTTGCAACTACATAGTACACGTAGGGCTGAGAGATTCTGCCTAGGACTACATACAGTTTTACAGTTTCAGGTCAGTTACCTTGTGGGTCAGTTACTACTGAAGTCCTCTTTAATTGTAATAAGTATCATTTTCCCAAACAGGAGAGAGAGGGAGAGAAAGCAGGACTGTGCATAATGCCTTCCTTGCTTTGCATTAGGAGCTGGGATGTTTGCAATGAGGTGCTGTTGAGTATTTTAAAAAGAGATTCATTTTCAAAGGAAAGGCATACACTTTAACCAAACTTGCTCACTAACAAAGAACAAACTGCAGAACTACTTTACAAAGGCATTATTTACAATGCGATGAAACTTGACATTTTAAACTACTTTGACTTCCTTTCTCACTGAAACTGCTTGATAGATTTGCCCAAAGTTATTCCTCAGCCCGCTCAACAAAACCATCTTGATATAATTTCTATGTACAACAATGCTACCACGTTGTAAATTAGCAGAGAATTCATCGGCAGGTAAGCATCCCATGACCTGGATCCAGGAGCTTCCCGGGAGGGCTACATGAAGCCATGGGAAGTTGATGGGTTTCTTCTCTGCTTCTCTGATCTTCAAAACCAGAGTGGGTGGTACAGTACTCCCCTTCCTGTTTAGGTCTGATCTTGTCCCTGAAAGATGTGTTGTGCTGAGAACAGGAGAGGTGGCTGGAGGATGGCCTGAGACTGTTCCTGGTACCAGCAGTATTGCTTCTGGGCTCTTGTAGGGGTAAGAAAAAGCAAAATTCTCCCCTGCTCCCAAAGTTCACAGGGCCTCCGGGAATTTCTGCAAGGTAGGGAGGAAGTCCTGGCAGCTTCTCTTTGAGCTGCAGGTTGTCCTCTTCTTAAAGAGGTTACCTGAAATTGTCGGGCTTTTCTTCCCCCATATTCCATGTCTCCCAGCCCAGATGATAGCTCTTGGAAGGGGGTTAAGAAGTCCAGGCTGGCCCCAAGCCACCTTGCTCTCCAAAGATAGGCGATCCCTTCAGAACCAGGGTGGCCTGTGCCTCTGGCCTTGATGATTCTGGAGCTCCACCACCTTTCACTCTGGGCTCCACTATAGAGAGCCATGCCTGCTGCCAGCCCTGCCGCCCAGCCTCCCAGCCCTGCTCTCACTCCCCAGGAGCTGGCCTCATCTTTTCCAAAAGAGAATGAAACATTTCCCCAAAATGATGGCCTCTGGACCTGCTGGCCATGGCTTCCTCAGCCCCAGGAAGGGTGGGCCTCCCTGTGCCTCCTCCAGTCTTAGGAATCTTCTCCACACTCCAAACTGAGTCCACCCAGAGCTCTGGCTAAGGAGCAAAGCCAAAGGGAAATGGAAGCAGAGAGAGGCAGCCAAACAGAGCAGGACACCCGCAACTGGATCTGTGCATGGCCTCGCAGGCTCAGGAGGCACTCCAGGACAGAAGGAAAAACTCCCTGGGCACCCCAGAAAGTCCTCAGTGGGACGAGAATGAAGAGTTGAGGCTTTGACTTCCACTGAGCAGAGGGTTCCAGGACCTTGCCGGTGATGCCTTAAGCACAGTTCCAAGCAGCTCTTAACGATACTGGGCAGCTGGTCTTGCTTGCTACATCTACGAGAAAGCTGGACAAGGCAGCTTTGCGATCCAAAAGCATGAGCTTTGAGGTAGGATTGTTGGGTCCGCTGAATAAAGGGGTAAAAATCTGCACAGCATTGGCCGGTGGTTACTCAGAAAGCAACTATAGTATCCAAACAAGAATATAGAACCTAGCAAACACAGTTGGTTTCGGTTTACGGATCAAATTTTACAAAAAGGAAGAAAAATTAACCTAGTAAATAGACAAGTTACTCCTCAATCTCAAAAATAAAATGCTTGATAAAATATATTCTTTAAAAAGGAGAGAGTAAAGTTTTACTACCAGATGGAGATGGAGGTGGCAAAGTAGGTAGGAGAGAAGAGAGGAGGGAGGAGAAGGAAAATGCTCTGGGAGCAGGGACACAGCAGATCCTGTGGTGAGCTTTGTTTCCGAGAGGTGGAAATGACTCAATATTTATCTCAAGGGTGGTTAGTCCTCCCAGGACAGGAGGGAAGGACTCGTCCCAGAGCCTCGCCCTGGCCAGTGTGACTCTGTAACCCAGGATTTTGCTCTGGGCACTCAGTCTCCAGGACCACCAACCCATCACCATCCCAGTTTATTGGTAAGTCCATGATACTGCCCATCTTATTTCCTGCCTTCTTCAGAGGTCTTGCCCACCCCAATCCCTGCAGAACCACCCCTGCCTTGGGGCCACTTTTTGCTTTCATGATGATCCAAACCAAACCAAACCCATTGCTGTCAAGTCAACTCCGACTCATAGCGACCCGATAGGACAGAGTAGAACTGCCCCGTAGGGTTTCCAAGGAGCGGCTGGTGGATTCGAATGGTTGACCCTTTGGTTAGCAGCCAAGCTCTTAATCACTGAGCCATCAGGGCACCTTCACGATGATATTAGGGCTGATCTCAAAGCAAAGTGTGGAGCAACTATAAGAGGCTTTCCCAGGGTCTCTGTCTTATATGCTTATGAGTCTGAGAGTAGCACTGCTCAAAAGAGCAACTCAAATACATTTTCAGTTAATTTCTTGGAGAGCCAGTTCCAGAAAAGAGCCACCACTAAGTGAAGACTCATCACACAGTCACTAAAATCCCAGTGTTTCATTTGTGTTTAAGAACTAAGAACTGAGTGAATGAATTTTAGCAGACTGTTGTGTGTGTGTGTGAGTGTGAGTGAGAGAGAAAGAGAAAGAGAGAGAGTTGATTAATAAAGGACCCAAGGAAGCCATTTTAAAGGGTTCCCAACAGTTCAACAAGAAAGGCAAAAATCAAGAATTAGTGTCCCTTTCTATCAATCCTGGATTGGGTCTGCAGTGACAGCTCATACTGAAGACTGCAGGACGAAAAAGCTAAAGGAAAACTTTTCCTAGCAAAGATGAAAACTTGCAGCCTTGGGACTCTCAAGGAGTGGTTTTCCAGCAAAGGGTTAACACTGGGGAAAGGAATAAAATGGTATCTCCTGCCTCCTGCTCTAATAATGCCAGTCCTAAAGACTGCCCTCCATCCTCCACCCAAAAAGACAAGCTAATAACAGATAACAGGAAACAAAAACATAAGACCCAGAATGGTTTCCTTCTCACTCCCTTGAGAAAAATCCTCCTTCATGAGTTTAACATCTAGGTGGTATGAGTATGAAACACCCACGTTACAACTGACAGTGGAATGAACAAACATGGCCTGCAGACCCACTCTTTGTCCCCCAGAGAAAATGTGTTTGTAAGCTAGCCAGTGGCCGGTCATCCTGCCCTGTGGGTCATTTGAATATCATTAGGGATGGCGGTACTCTTCTCCCGGGAGTGACGCAGTCACGGCTGGAGAGCTGGAGCTGAGAGTTAGTTGCTTGACAGCTTGGGTCGCCCAAGGTTTGTGGGCACTTCCAATCCTGTGTGCAGGGTGACCTGGAAAAGAAGATTGGGTAGCAGTGAGTGGAAGAAGACTCGACAGCACAGCCACCAGGCAAGGTCCTCTGCTGGCTGAGGGCCATCACGTGGAGCAGCCAGGGGCCTCTCTAGATGGTCAAATGTGTGTTTATTGCGTCGCTCAACGTCACTGATATAAGGTCCACGTGTTTCCCCTGAGGGATTGGTTTGACCCTCTTTCCTAATAATAAGCATCACACAACAGACTGGGTTTTCATTTGGCTCTCGCTTCCAGAAGCTCAGACAGACGTGGTGCCCATTTGCAGCACTTGCACTTGTTCACCGAGTTAGCATATTTGTTTCTACTTTCTTTTCATGACCCTGTTTCCTTTCCCATGTGTATTTTATTAACCTTGTGGAATAATGGCCTCAAATCTCTTTTGCAAATGAGTGAAGGTATAAATAAATAAAGTAAGTGTATTGATGAAGACCCCCAAAATAACTGGTTAGTGCCCTGCCTAGGGTGAGGAGGGCTCTGCCAGAAAGGAACACCCCCCACCCCACACCGTTTCTCCCCCTCCTACACTGGGCTCTAACTTTGTCACTCTGTTTGGGGCTTCTCTTAAGCCATCAGCATTCACCTACGTAGGACTGGGCTCCTGAGATGTAAATGGACAAGCTTTCTGACTGCTTCATGTGGAAAACAGAAAAAATGGGGCAGGGAGGGGCAAGAGGGCACAAGAGAAGATGCCCGTCCACTTAGAAGGCGGTGTTCCTGAACTTTGTTATTTCTCCTCTCAGTGGAAAGCCACACAAGGGCTCAGCATCCTCCCCGGGAAGGCCCCAGCACATGCCTGACCATCATGACCACTGCAGGGCAGGCAAGCTCTGACTTCCCTTTCCTATTGCTACAACCTCTCCCTTGAAGCTCTCCCAGGAAAGAGAGTCCCCTTAGGTTGAGCCACTGTTTGTTTCCCCCTTCCATCCTTTCTTCTCTCCTTTCCATGCCTTTCCACAAGTGGCCAGTCTCAGAATCCCTGCTTGTTCCAAGTAAGCAAGTAAGAATTTATGGTGGAAGTAGAGATGGGTTACAGGGAATCCCCAAGGGGAGGCTGGCAGGGGAGATGTCTGCCTGGGTGAGTACTTTGGAAAATGTACAGGGGCACCAAGGGGCATACGGGCAAGCAGGGGACAGGTAACCACACCAGCCCTGGCTAGAGCGGCCACAGTACCTGCACGTTGCGGTTGAGGCTGAGGGCTGGCATGAAGACCCCGTCCACATGACTGAAGGCTGTGGGGCCCTGCTGCTGCCCATTGATGAAGAAGGTCAGGGTATGTTTGTTCAGGTCCAGCAGCACGCCAACTGTGGCCCCTTTGCACACTCCGCCTTCCGTCCTGCAAAGAGAAACCCAAAGAGTAACCATCACCATACTGAGAGTTGGATGTAGGTGATAATCCAGGAGCATCATCTGACGGATTCTGGGAACACCTTCACCTGAAAAACAGCCCCCATGGTGAGGGCAAAGAGCTAGTCTTTTAGGTTTATGAGCCTTTTCTTGAAGTGCACTAACCATTTGAAGGGCAGCATGTGGAGACCTTACCTGTCGTTCACACTCCTGACAGCTCGTTGGCACCTGGACACCCAGGGAATTAAGGTTTTGATGAGTGGTCCCATTTGGAAACATGGAGCATGGAATGTGGGTAGGGAAGACCTTTTACCTGCCAAAGAAATGACTGACCACTTTTCAGTTTTAGCCTTGTGCGGCCCATGGGGCTTGGAGGGGATATTACGTTCCACGAAGATGTAAATTTGAAAGGACCCCATCCCTTCGGCTCATCTTCCCAGAAACATCCTGTTGTTGCTGTTGTTAGGTGCCAGCAAGTTGATTTTGACTCATAGCAACCCCATGTGACAGAATAGAACTGCCCCATATGGTTCTGTAGGCTCTAATCTTTCGGGAGCAGATCACTACATCTTTCTCCCGTGGAGCCGCTAGGTGGGTTCAAACTGCCAACCTTTCAGATAGCAGCTGAGTGTTCAACCATTGTGCCACAAGGATTCCTTAGAAACATTCTAAACCCATACCATATGCATTGCTGTTGGGTCGATTCTGACTCATAGGTACCTATAGGGCAGAGTAGAACTGTCCCATAGGGTTCCCAAGGCTGTAAATCTTTACAGAAGCGGACTGCCACACCTTTCCTCCTGCGGATTGGCTGGTAGGTTTGAACCGCCGACTTTTTGGTTAGCAGCCGAGCACTTAACCACTGTGCCACCAGGGCTCCTAGAAATATCCTAGGACCTTGAAAGGCAGCATACTGCACGAGGAGTGAGTGCTGAATCTGGAATTTGGTCCTCTAAGTCATCATCCCACCAATGGCGAGAAGTGTAACCTTGGGAATGTAAATTATGAAGCTCTTGCTAAGAGTCCCACGATGTTACATATGATGGGTTCTAAACTTGGTGGAAATTCATGTCCAGTGAGAGGGAATGAATCTTTAATAAGGAACGCTCTCCTGGGAGGGCCTTTGGCTGCCCTGGCCAAATTCATTAGACTCTTCCTTCCCTTAGCTACAGAGCTGGGGTCTTAGCCTTGGCTTTACTGTGCCTGTCTCAGGAAAAAGCAGCTTTTGTCCTTTCCTAATTAGGAATGGGTTAATCAGCTGGAGGCTGATGGTGTCACAGGGAGAGGGGAGCTCTGGGTTTCAACACAGAAAAAGTGGTGAAAGGAGTTTGTGAGATTCCAAGTTCTCATGAGGGATGGCTGGAGGGGGTTCTGCTGGTGGGGGTTTCTTGAGAGGCCAAGTTTTCCTAAGGGTGTTAGGGGCCAAGGGGAGGATTCTGCAGGTAGGCAAGTGAATTAGAAATGACCCATTGGTGCTAATTCTGGCACTGACACTGGGTGGCAGTAAGCGGCAGTCTGAGGGGGAGGAATGTTGTGCCCTGCCCAGGTCTGCACAGGGGCACAGTCACCAGGCCTCTGCCCCTCACCACTGTGACTGCCATCCCCTCCTCAGGCTCTCTCACCTGCATCTGCTCTGCACTGAGGTAATGCAAATAGAGGTGGAGGTTCCTCCTGCCCACTTTCTCATCGCCCCCAATTTCCTTCTGCTTGCCCTGCTCTTTATGGTCCTGACTGAGGCACCAGTGTCCCTGGGTGGTGCAAATGGTTAATGCACTTGGCTGCTAACCAAAAGGTTGGTGGTTCAAGCTCACCCACAGGCACCTCAGAAGAGAGGCCTGGAGATCTACTTCTGAAAAATGAGCCATTGAAAACTCTCCTACTCTGATACTCACGGGGTTGCCATGAGTCGGAGTTAACTCAACAGTGACTGCTTACTGGATGTCTTAGTCATCTAGTGCTGCTATAACAGAAACACCACAAGTGGATGGCTTCAACAAATAGAAATTTATTCTTTCACAGTCTAGTAGGTTACAAATCCAAATTCAGGGCATCAGCTCCAGGGGAAGGCTTTCTCTCTCTGTCGGCTCTTGGAGGAAGGTCCTTGTCATCAATCTTCCCCTGGTCAAGGAGCTTCTCTGGACTGGCACCTCAAGTCTAAAGGAAGTGCTCTGCTCCCAGCATTGCCTTCTTGATGGTATGAGTTTCCCAACTCTCTGCTTGCTTCCCTTTTCTTTCATCTCTTGTAAGATAAAAGGTGGTGCAGGCCACACCCCAGGGAAACTCCCTTTACATTGGATAAGGGATGTGACCTTAGTGAGGGTGTTTCAATCCCACCCTAACCCTCTTTAACATAAAATTGCAATCACAAAATGGAGGACAACCAGACAATACTGGGAATCATGGCCTAACCAAGTTGACACATATTTTTTGGGGGACACAGTTCAATCCATGACACTGGACTAAGGCACCACGAGGCTGGCAAGGGCAGTGAGAGGCCAAGAAATCTTTGCTGGCTCACTTAAGAGGCATGTTGTAGCCAGCACCCATGAGGTTTCAGAATTTTTCACTGAGTGCGTGCTCAGAGGTCTGAGGTCAGACCACAAGGTGCCACCAATTGGCTATGTGCCTTGGGACAGTTCACTTAATCTTTCTAATCCTCAGTTTCATAACCTGTAAAATGATGATAATAACAGCATTTCTGTGAGGATCGAATGAGATAATATATGTCAAGTGCTTTCTACTATGTTGGACACAAAAAATAAATGTTCACTGTGATTATTTCCATCACCAGAGTTTCTCCTGGCTCGCTGGTTCAGCTTAAGCAAGCAGAGATGGGCTTGGCTGGATTTAGCCAGGCAGGGAAGGGCTCCTTCTCGGGCTGTGGGGGGTGGGGGGACGGGCGGTGGCCAGCAGGTTCAGCGTCGGGTTACTCTGCAGGGCCCAGGCAGAGGGTGCAGAGGGACTGGGCTGAGCACACTGTCAGACCACTGGAGAGAGGGGCACTGCCCGATGAAAAGGCAGGGTGGGAGAGGCCTGGCCTACTTGAAGCCATCCCCTCTCCCCCTCAGATCCTCAGGGCCCCTCAGACACTGACCCCAGACCAGACCAGGCATCCCTGGGAGAGAAGCTGGCCTGGTCTGCCAGCTGAGGAGGTCACCCCTAGAGGCCATCTGCCGGAGCTGCCAAGCAGAAGCTAGAGGCTGACCCTGAAAGCTGGGGCTTAGTGAGATCACCTCCCTGAAGGCACCTCACTCCTCCTAGCTGTGGAATGACCTCTTAGCAGCCCAGGAAGTAGCTCCAGGCTGCAGTAACTCTCTGTTTCCTCAGGGATTTTCCATCCCCGCCCCCACCCCCACCCCAGCCACACACACTCTGGCAAAGTAGAAGCACAGAATCCCTTTGCGGGGAAGAGAAGGAGAAGCACCGAAGTGGGTCTCACTGCTGTCGGTGTGTCTACAGAGAGACCAAGGAGCCCAGAAGTCCCATGAGAGACCCAGGCTCATCTCTCCACTGCAGCCCCAGAGTGCCCCCGGCCCGCAGCATGAACCTGCCCATCCTGTCCCTTCGAGGCCCCATCAGCAACACAGCCTGTCTCTCCCAGGACCCATGTCTCCCATGCCCACCTGGGCACACTATTCTCAGGGCCTAGCCTCAGGGTGAAGCAGCAGCTGCGGACCCTTGACAGAGCTGTGAACACTGACCGTGATGATCCTCCCTCCGCACAGCCCTGTTAGGGGGCACTGCCTAGGCTGCACACCCCCAAGAGTGGGCTGTGGGAGGTGGAGGTGGATAAACCTCTGACAGAGACTCGGTCACAGCTGTGACGGTACCAGCCCAGTTAGCTCCACACTGACGGAGACTTGATTGATTATGTGTAAAGAAAAGGGTAGCAGAACCCAAAAGAAAACCCAAGTTTTACTTGAAAAAGTTCTCGTAAAGTATCACAGCAGAATCCCCATCATGCACCTCACTGAACAACTTTGGGAAATGAGTAGACGGGGAAAGTTATTTGGGCCGATGCCCTTCCACTCTCTGTTAGATACTCTCATTTGGGCTGGAGGCAGTGGTCAATTCTATCTGGTTGAAGTCAAAGCCACCTGTAAGTGGTAGACCTAGTGCTGAACCCTCCATGTCTCTGATGCCTGGTGTGGGAAAGCACAGAGGGGACACTAGCCCAATGGGAACCCTCATTCCCAAACTCCTCTCTGTCCAAGGAAGGGAGGTGAGGCGGGGGCGGCGCACCTGTTGGTGTGGGAGTTGCAGTGCATGAACCAGCTGCGATTGTTGTCCACATACATGGCCCAGGCCTTGTCATCCTTGCCCAGCATCATGTCTTTGACCACGTTGACCCTGGCAACCCCAAAGGCGGGGTCCGGATGGTTGTCGTACCGGTCCACGTGCAGCTCCCAATAGTGCACACCCTTGGAAAATGCGGCCGTGCCCAGCACCACCCGGTCGTCATAGCTGCTGCAGGTGGCTGTCTGGTTATCATTGGACAAAATGATGTCTCGGTGGCCGGAGTTGGGGTCAAATGTGAACCAGGCCACTGGAAAGGAAGGAGACAAGAGGAGGACGGTCAGGAATCTAACCAACAGTCTTCTAACCTGGGCTCAGAGATATGAAGTCTCTCCCTGTCAGAAGTCAGCACTCAGCATCGAATGTTCTTCCGAGTATGATCACCACACACACACACTCACACACATACACCACAACACACACTCACACACGCACGTACACACACAGGTGCACACAAGTACCACACACACACATGCGGGCACATGCACTCCCTTCCCTGCTCTGTGTTCATCTAAGTTCCAATCCCATGAACCCAACCTTGCCAAGGAACACAGACACACTGGCCTCAAAGCCCCAAATATAAATGCGTTTCGTGGAGCCTTGGTTTCTAGCAACCTTCCAAATGCTCCATGCACTGGTAGGAGCTAAAGAGGAAGGAGATATGGTGGCCCACTTTGTGGGTGGGAGATTGGAGGCACAGAAAAATGAAGTGATGAGCCACAAAGCTCATCCTCCTGTTCCACAGCCCGTAGGTTATGCACCTTCTGCTCGTTAGAGCCTTCCAGGTGTGGGCAGGGAGCCCACAGTGCCAGACAAGAACTGTCCACCTTGAGGCCGATAGGCTCACGGGGCAGAACAGTAGCGGGCTATGTGGTTTACAAAGCGGCTCTGCAATTGGCACGGATTTCAGGAAAGTAGCACCAGGCTGCCCTCACGCAGCTGCTGCTTCTACTCCTGCTCCTCCTGCCCTGAGAGGCAATCAGGTGTGTCGTGTTTGTCTCAGGGGCACTCAAAGTAAATAATGACAATAAATACAGGATGAACACCATCCTTGGAGCCAGTGGAGAACGGGGACCTCTGCAACCTGGCTGGGTCTTGCCCTGCTTGACAGGGCAGACTATTTTTGGAGTGCAGTTCTCTATTTATATTATTGCTCCTCAAGAAGGACTCAGACACTCAACATCTATCTGAATGTTAATGTGCTTTTGTTGCCAAGCACCGAAAAGACACAGCTAAGTACAAAAACCATCAGATCTGGGCTCTTCCACTGAGCATCTGAGGAATGTGTTACCACTGAGAGAAAGGCTCCACTCTAGGGCGATGTGAGTCACCGTGAGGCACCAATGCCACCTGGTCCCCTCTGGGGATGTCCTGCCCCCACTTCAGCCCTTTGGAAGTGGGTGAATGTTAGCCCCCCTGAGCCACTCGACTTTTAGTCTCATTTCACAGGTCCAACAAAATGGGGGGAAGGGATGTTCATTTCTCAGCTTGTGTGTAGTCCTGAAGCAGGTTTCCCATTCAGTTTCTCAGTATATGGTGAAACTCACATGAAATTGTTCACTACAGATTACCAAGTAAGCCTGTGCTTACCTTGCTTACTGGGTCGTCTGCCCCTGTCAGGGACTGTAAATTTGAAAAGAGGCTTTAATTCTGTAGGAAGGTGCTGTGAGGTTGGGAGAGAGACAGTTGCCAGCCGTACCTAGAAGCCGAATCTTTGATGTGGTGAAGAAATGTGAACTGTTCACTACAGATGATCTGGTAAGCAAAGGAAGCACTGTGCTTACCTTGCCTTTTGGTAATAATCTGCCCCTGAATGTGGCACGTGCTGAGCAGAGACAAAGCTGGTGGGACTTGTGCCTTATCTGGCAGCCCACCCCTTCACTCTACCCGCTCCCATCTTAACTGCTGACAGTTCCTCACAGTCCATGGGGTGAACTGTGAGTTGGGTCTGGGGGCCTATTTGCCTCCCTTAGGAGACCATCCACAATCCCTGAATGTGCTGCTCTGATCAATACTGCGCACAGGACTCACCGTCAGATGTCTGCAGAACAACAGTTTTACTGTAAGGCCCGACACCCGAAGAGTTGAAGGCCTTGACCCTGGCATTGTAGGTGCTGTTGAAATGAAGGCCATCGATGGTACACAGGGTCTCCTTGCCAACATACACTTCCTGAAGAAAAGCAAGGCCATTAGACTTACCATTATTTGGAAATTTTCTCTTAGGAAATGACTCCTATGCAACAATTTGACATTAATGGTATTACCACCTCAACAGATGCGATTGAATAGGTAAGATTTCAATCAGTCGTGGCTAGGTCGAAGGCCATTGCCAGAGTAGAGCACAGACCCGTTATGGATTGGCTGGGCCGGCTCCTCTGTGAGACTGTGAGTTGTGATGATGGGGTCCTAGGGAGGAAGGCATCACACCCTGCAGCCAGCAAGGACTCAGCCCGAGAAACTTCCTGCTTCTGACAAGGTCAACCCCTGTGTAGGGTAATGCTATTCAGCTATATGCATCCCCTCCTAATGGGGGCAGCTTTGCTTGTCCCTGAGGCATGCTGTGGACGAAGTTGGGCTAAGGTACAAGGCCCAGAGTAGTGTGACTGGGTCGGAGGCCAAGGCTGAGGAACACCTTATTAACAGAAAGAAAAACATCTGAACTTGAACATGTAGTCCCTGGGAGTGCTAGCTGCTCAGGGACTTGGAAGAAAAACAATAAATGGTAGCCCCAGCTGGAACTGTATATAAGGTTGTGTCCCTTGCTAGGCGGGAGCAGAGTGCTATTCTGGTCCAGCCACCGCCCTGGACTGTCCTGTATGTAAGTTCCCCCAATAAACCATATGTCCTGATTGCTGGTTCCAGAGTCTTTCTTTGGTCTTTTAGCTACACAGCCGACTCTGGGTCTGGACGCTGCTGGGTTGTTACCCGACACCCTGCTAGACGAGACCTGGGGCTCTGGAGCCCTGGGGAAGTATCAATCCCTCCATGGGCATAGCCATGAGGAATCTCTTCCTCCTCTGGTAGAGCAATAGAAAATTTTTGGATTTCAATGGGAATTTAAACTAGAAAACCAGAGTAGTGCAATTCAATAAACAAAATCACCAACATTTGTTAAAGAAGGGTTATTACATATAAGGGGACAAAGTAGACAGAAGGAAGGTCTTGACCAAAGACAGACTGGTTCAAAGTTGATCTGGGTTGGAACTACACCCGGAGTGAGAGGTATACTCCACCCCTATCCCTAGTCTTCTTCCTTGGCCCTCCTGGAGCTGCTTTTTACCCTGGTCTCCCAAGAGGGTGAGACATTTCTGCATTAGACCCCAAGAATCCTTTTCCAGGGATTTATTTTGTTTCCCATTTATTTCAAAGTTACCCTTCTCCTATGAAGCCCTCCAAATCCATAGTCTTACACCTCTCCTATTTCATTATATTCTACTTAGTTTGTCTAAAAGGTCTTTCCTGCCTGATTGTTTAGGGGGAATCTACTCTTCTCTTGTTAATATATGTTATTAATAATAATAGCTGTGTGTCAGGCATTGTATAAGGCACGTTAATTCTCACAACAACACTAAGACATTTTTATTATTTTTCATATTTTACACACAAGTTCAAGATATGAGAAGGTAGAGAACAAGCCCAAGATCACAGCTAATCCGTTTAGGACTGAAAATTCAAACTTAGGTCTGCCTGTGTTCAAAGCTCCCACTTTCCCCACCATAACATCTTCTTTCTCATAAACTAGCCCTTGGATCTAGCTTTGGTTAGTGGTCATCTCTCAAAGGGGAGAGGCCTTGTTTATTTGGCTGTTCCTTTGAATAACTCTCAAACAGTCTTTTCTTTCTTCTCATTTCAGAAACACAGGCTCCCTTCCTGGTTTCCAGTAGAGGAGCTTATCTGCAGAACAGTAGCAAATGGGCTAGACCCAGTGACTGAGCATGCTGCTCCTGACTCAAATACCTCATCTTCTCACTTCTCTAAATGGCCCATATTCACATGGGCTCAATCTCCAAGGGAGTGCTGCAGTTATTTCCCAACTCTTACATTCTTGTAGAGCATCTTTTAAACAGAAAATGAAATGACATGAATCCCATTGAGAGAAACAAAAGGAATGTTGGCCTTCAATAAGGATTGTTAAATGAGTGTCACTTCCCAGGAGAAGAAAAGCAATGTTTGTTATGATTGCAGTGTCTTGTCAGAATGAGTCTATTTACTTTTCTTGGGGTTAGAATGGACAAGAACTGAGAAGGCCTAGAGTTAGTGCTTCCTGGTGGTCAACACAACTTAATAGCAACCCGAACTTAACAGTGTGGAATCTCAAGGTAGAGGGCTCTCAGGGGGGCCTGGGGCGACGTAAGGGGCTGTCCTAGGGTTTATATAAGATAGGGGATTAGAAGTTGTATTTGTTGTCCCCACGATATGCCATCAATGGGGACATGAATGTAGAAAGTGATTCCGATCCAACAACCAACTCTTTAACGTCTTCTACATACCCTGCACCGTGCCAGGTAGACAAGGGATTGTAAGGAGAGGCCAGATAATGCTTTCTATTCTCCAGAAACCTATACCTTCAGAGAAACAAGACCAACTCAGGTGAAATAATCAGTGAATCAAAGAGGCCAGGTGTATTAAAACCCGGCAGGAGCACAGCAGTTGACTGTGGGTTGGGGAAGCTGTGTGAAGCGAATGGTATTTGAGAGGGTGCTGACAAGTAACTATGATTGGACTGGCAGTGTTAACTGGGAGTAGGTATGTGCAGGTGACACCTAATCTGAGCTCTGCTTCAGCCCCAGGCAGAGCATCCTTAGCACCACCCCTGTGGCAGTCTTCACAGGAAACTTACCTGAGTTTTCTCTGTGACCTATACCTCTGCTAGCCCTCAGTGGAGAAGTTTCTTGTCTCCCATGACCTCACAATGGCTCTGTGACCATGCATGAGGCCCTGTCGGGTGGTTCAGATCTAAGGGCAGCGCCTGGGCAGGCCCAGAGGCAAGGCAGGGTTTGGACCCAGCCAGGCAGGCTTACCCGGAACTGCCCGCCGTCGCCGTCGTCTAGCTCCAGGATATAGCCATCCATGGGGCTGTGGGTGAAGGGCGGCATCCTCCAGGCCAGCGTAACGCTGTTGTTGCGGGTGCAGCACTTCTCCAGTTGCAGCAGTGGAACCGGCGGCACTGGGGGTGGGGTCACAGGTTAGCATGCCACCCTGTCCTGTCCCTGTTCCTGCTCCCTGGCCACCTGTAGTCACTCCCTCCCAGCCTCTCATATGCACCACTCAGCCAAGGGGCCACAGTCCCAGTGGGGCTGGGGATGAGGGCAAGCATAGGTGACTACACTTCTCAATCCCAGGGGTATTGGAATCCCAGGATGGGGCATAGCAGAGGCCTCCACTCTCTGAATCTGTAGGCCATAAATAAGGGAGTCCCTCTTCCCACCCTCCACTGAGAATCAGTAGCATCACTAGAGGGGCACGGGGGTGTGTACCACATTGAGTGACATTGTCAGAGGGGGTGACACCAAAATGACTGTCTATAAAATTTTTGTGCATTGTTTCAGCAGAAATTTATTCTTTTTTAAATAAAATATCCCTGTAGTTAGTTAAAACAACAAAAATTTTTTTTGTAAACCCAGCTTACACGTATCAGTTTACCTACAAGGCTAAAACTCTATGCTAATTTACTTTTTGAACCTTCTAACGTGCTCTGTCATTATTACCCAATTATAATTATGCTTCGAATCACATAGTCTTGTCACTTCCAAAAGCACATGCTGTTGTTTTCGTTGCTGCTGGGGTTTTTATAGTCAATGATTTTGTCAAATTTTCTGTGATTTTAGCTACAATATTGTGGTAATTAGCATGGGGGGATGAAACCATGAGTTACTGCACTGGGTGACACCAACCGCAGTGACGCCACTGTTGAGAATCATTGGTTTTGATTCTCTGACCTATGGAGAGCTCAAAGGAATTCCAACAGAGTGTATATTCATGTCCCTCCCGGGACCTCTGTGGAGCCCTCTCCACAGGGGCAGCACTGACTGTGAGCATGCAGCTCACCCCTGGGCTGGGCCCGGCTTCACTTTGTATAATAGCATTGAAACCTCTGGCTAAGCATTTAAGGGGCCAAGGGAACTAGATCCGGGAAAGGGAAGTGATCTTAGAGGATTAGACAGTCTACCCGTGGACTGGGGGATTTCATCAAATGTGCCCCAAGTTCTATTAAGGTGATATTGAGACAATGTTTTTATTTTCTAGCTGCGTTCAGGTTCAAGAGATTTTAGAAACTATATATATTCCACACTATTGTTTTTGGGAAAATACCAACATCAGTTTTGTAACAACTGCATATTTCAGTTTGGCTCTACAGGGGAGCGGAACCAACACGGCACTATAGACAGATGCACCATGCCGTCACTCCACAGCAAAGACCTGAAAACTAAGTAAAACAGAGAGGAACATCAATCCTGGAACCCTAAGCATCAAATGAAGAGATAAGGAACTAACCAAGCTCTGAATGGAATAAGAAACTGACAGCAAGGAGAGATACGTGAAGAGATCCCCTAACAGCTAACACAGCATGGATTCACCATCTGGGACTCCTGTTGGAGATCAGCAGACAGGAGCGGACAGCAGCTTTACGGAACTCCCAGCAGGAGACAGAGCACCCGGTAACCAGAAATATACGCCTTCCCACACCCCATCCTTCTTCCGCCTACTCGACCTCTGCCACTTCATAGCTGGCTGCAGTAGCTTGGCCGACCGGGAAGTGCAGGTCCCTGCCACTTGGATTCACCCTGCCCACATTGGAGATCAGTGGACAGGGAGTTCAGGAAAGCAGCTTCACAGAGCTCCTGGCAGGAGACAGAACAACCGGCAACCAGCGATATATGCTTTCCCACCCTCCACTCTACTTCACCCCTGCTCGGCCTCCTCTGCTTTCTGCAGCCACAGTCTCTTGGCCAGGAAGCACCGTCTTCAGCCCTGTGCCACTTGGATTCCACCCACCCACACTGGGCAGCTCCCTGAGTGCCATTTGTTGCTGGTGTTGCTTTTTTCCTGCTTCTTTTGGTTTCTTCTGTACTTCTCACCACCCACCCTTTCTCTCAAACACCTGCCTCTGTGTGCCATCTTTGCTTCTTCTTGAAAGGCTGTGAAGCACCACTCAACTGTGGAACTGCTTCCTGGCCTGTGCTGCCATGCTGGTGGGATCCCTGGGGCTTTTCTTTTTTTTTAAATTTGCTCTGCTTGTTTGTTTGTTTTCTTTTTCTTTTCTTGGCTTGGGAGCCCCTTCTAGCCAGGCTGTACTGTGCTGCTTGGGAGCTACTTCCTCGGTCTACGCAGCCGCCCTGGTGGGATCCCTGGGAACTTTTCTTTTTTTTTCTACTTTATTGTACTTCAGGTGAAGGCTTACAGAACAAATACTTTCTCATGCAACAGTAGTACACATGTTGTTTTATGACATTGGTTAACAACCCCACAACATAGTAACCCTCTAAATTCTCAACCTTTTTTTTTTTTTTTTTGGTGAAAATACACATAGCCAAAGATACACCATTTCAAAAATTTC